ACCACATGTCTCTATTTATCCAAACATTTGTATTAGTTAAAGGGATAGTTCACCCAAACATAAAAATTTTATGTTTATCTGCTTACCTCCAGGGCATCCAAGATGTAGGTGACTGTTTCTTCAGTAGAACACAAACGGAGATTTTTTAACTCCAACCGTTGCAGTCTGTCAAATTTAATTTGGTTTTGTTTGTGTATGTTTTATGACTCTCAAAGCCGTGATTCCCATCCACTTACATTATATGACTGACAGACCGCAACAGTTTGTTAAAAATCTCCGTTTGTTTTCTACTGAAGAAACGGTCCCCTACATCTTGGATGCCCTGGGGGTAAGCAGATAAACATCACATTTTCATTTTTGGGTGAACTATCCCTTTAAACCTATATCTGTGTAGGGAAATTCCCTGACCCGTTTCTGCTTACAGATATGGTTACAGATCAACGTACTCTCTATTAAATGCATCTAACTTCCCTGTTCGGACATGATGACATTTAAAAAAAAAAAAAAAAATCATTTAAAAACGAATTTACTCATTTTTATGTATTATAAAAATATTTCTAAATCTCAGCATGTCGTGTGTGTGTGTATGTATGTGTGTGTATGTATGTGTGTATATATATATATATATATATTCATTTGAAAGTATTTTATAAGTTATATAAGGTGGGTAGGTAAAAAAAAAAAACTTCTGAAAATGAATGTGTACATTATTATTATTTATAATAATAAATAGGTTTTTTTTATTGATTTATTTTAAATAAAATATCAGAGCAAGTTAAATTCATGGTTGTGATGCCTGTTAGAAAAAAAAAGTGTATGGTGGAATTCTGTTCATTACATTTCCATGGTTACATTTAGTTGTGCACATTAGCACAATGTTGTGTGAGGAATTGTTTTTACAGTTCACTTAGTAATATCTGGAACTCTCCCATATTCCATGCACTCAAATGAAAGGTAAGGACATGCAGGTGTGTGTGTGGTTGATAATCAAAGGCCCAGGACAGTTAGTGTGCATGTTCCCACTAAGGCCCTGTGCTCAGTCACTGGAGGCCACAGCGAGAACAATGAGTGAAAATTGCTGGCCAACAATGACTGATTTCTAGAACAGTGCTGATAGAAACATGTATAGTGAAACAATGAAAGCACAGCACAATCTTTACAGTGTTACTGCACATTATCTAGAGAATCCCTCTCTCCAGTAGGCCTGCTATCATTTATAAGAGACATATGGCTGAGAGAAAGTTCCCTGTTTGAAATAACCAGCCTTTCTGCATAAGGGCCATTTGACTGCACAGAGAACAGCCTGTGTTATATAAAACATGCCAGGTTTCTGTGCACACAGAGGTTATGCTGGGGAGAGCATGTGTTTCTTCATAATATTTATGCCTCTTGTCAGATCAACTTTTAATTAGTCTTAAATTTTATTTCAGTGAACCATTACAAGACTATAAAAGATGAATACCGAGACTTTATTCCCACAAAACTATCAATCAAGCTGCTGTGTTAGTTGTTTTCAGGACCCGCTGTGTTTTTGAGGCAAAAAGGAGATGAGTTCTGTAACTAGTATGTGGAATGAAGAAAATGTCTGTTTCCCAGGTTATAAATTGTATGTAGTTAATATGTAATGTATGTAATGGTTACTGCTACTGTATCAGGAGCAGTTAAAGAAAAGATAAACACATTATTGTGTGTTTGACATGCTCTTTGTGATATGTTGAGCAGTACCTGCAGAGAATATTCCCATGGTGTTCTCATAAGGCTGTCGAGGTTCACGAGGGTTCAGCGTGACATAAGCAGAAGGTGCAAGTGGCAAACCTATCAATCCTCTGAGAAATCAAGCAGCTTAAGCAAACTGTCTTTCCTGGCCAGGAAATGGGCAGGCTGCTCAAACACTAACTGCCTGCATCAACATCTTTCAAGAGGTGCCATTTATAGGAGCTCAAGGTCCTGAGAAACAGGTGAGAGATGAAGGGAGGGATGCCAGATGTTCTTGTGGCTGAAACAGAGAGAATGAGAGAGGTGGGGTGGGGTAAGGGGGAGTAAACTCTACCGAAGCTGGGTGTTTTTTGACCTTGTTTGTAGCATTTCTCAGAAACAATCTTATTACACCTCCCAAAGTTCCTTTGCACCTCCCCCTGGTTTGACACTACTCAGAAACCTGTGAGCCGCAACCTCAAGCTCCCCACACGCTTTACGCTGAGTCACAAACTTCATATGATTGTCTTCAGGCAGATAGTCTTTCAAATGTTCATGCTTGCGTAACTGACAGCAGTGTGACATGATCTAGGAAGTCTATAATAAAATGCTTCATCATATTGTAATTTTTGTATATTATAGGAAAGACCAGGGGCTTTTTGTCACAAAGACTAATTTTGTTAATTGCAGAAGTTCACGTTAAAGTTTGCAATGTTTGTTGGTCAAAACCATGCTTTTTGTTACCTTTTATATTTTTGCTGCTTGATGATGATAGTGATCATTAATGTTTTATAAATTTTTTTAGTATTTTGCCAAAAAAAAACACTTTAATTGGCTGTTTCATGTCTAGTTCATTGTGACAACTTACCTTGCTGTGTGGTCAGTATGCTTTATCTTTTTTCTTGGAAATAACAGTGGAAATATTCAGTTGCTATCAAGACTTCAATATATACTCATAAACTGACTTATCAAAAATAAACAAATATAAATGGAGTGAAAGTGTGACTACAAATCCTGGTCTCTCCTACATTCATCCATGTTCGTTTTATTATTTTGAATATGTACAATATTCATAATTTTTCGCAAAATAAATAAAATCATGCTATTTTCACAAAGAGGGTGAAAAGATAAAAGTGGAAGAATGACAAAAAGCTGAACGGTTGTAAGAACAAAGAAAATAAAGCAAAATGTATAATTTGCATTGGCATTTTAACAGTAGCCCAACTAGAAAATACTCTTCTATTTTATTTTTACAATAAAACTACCACTTCCTGCATATCACAGTCTGATGAGCTCCTGACAACGTGCCATAAGATACGGCCAGGATCCTGTTTCTGACTTAAAACCGAATTTCATCTTTCGAATTTGATTTATGTCTATGAACTCGTATCCGATACTGCATTTAAAAAAAAAAAAATTTGCCTCGCTTTTGTGGAGTTACAACCTCAGATTCCGTATAAATGTCAGTCAGTAAAAATGACTTACTGTTTGCTTATATCATCACTTTCATGAAGTTTCCTGCTGTCGCGTTTCAAATAAACATCTTCGTGCGTGAATGATATTATTTCCCAGAAACATTTACAGGCAGAATTCTACAATAAATGGATCCGTGTGGATAAACAATGTAATATTCTACATTATGAATCAACAACCCAGAAATGTAGTAAGTGTGCTGCTGCCCCCCACTGAGCAGCGATACTCACAACACATGACCCGTGCTGCTCTCCAACTTCAGCAGTCACAGACCAGAGCAGTACAATAAGCAGATGGTCTGCGCTAATCAATGCCATATTTTCAGTTCCAGCACTGATAAAAGAGCACGAGCGTCTATGTTCATTCCCTCAATTAATCATCCTGTTGCCTATTGGGCCAATCAGTCTGTTTCATTTCATTCTGCTTAAAGTTTCACATTGTGATAAAGAACCATGAGATCATAATTCACATTTAAAGGCCCAGTTCACCTAAACATGAGAATTCTATCTTCATACTTACCCTCATGTCATTTCAAAACTGTATGACTTTCTTCTGCAGAACATGAAAGATATTTTGAAGAATGTCGATAAACAAATGGTTTCCGTTCCCATTGACTTGTATAAAAAAATTCAATGAAATACAATAAAAATCAATGGGTATCGAAACTACTAGATATCAAAATGATTCTTTTGTGTTCTGTAGATGAAAAAAAAAAAGTTTGGAATGACATGAAGTGATAATTTTGGGGTGAACTATTCCTTTATTATTTTGTGTGCATGAATCATGTCCAAACTAATGATTGGAAAACACATGGAACAGAGAATACATGTAGTATGAATATATAAGGTAAATAATGCATTTGATTAAATGATAACTGATATAAGGAGGGTTATTTAAGGACAGCTCTTGTAAGCCTGCAGACCAGCCAGTGATGATTAGGCACATTGTCCGTTTCCCAGATCCCCCTGCTGATTCCTGATGATGTTGTCATACTCGGTCTGATTCAGTGTAAAGCCAAAGCAATCTTGTCCAGTTCAGTGCAGTGCAGTTCTTTGCTGACCCCTCAGACATGGTGAGAGCTCTGCTGAAGACGGATTCATTTTCCTCACCACATGACTGACTGCTGCCTTACCAGCACTGCTTAAATGATTAAAAACAAACGGCACGACAGAAGTAGATCATGTGCTGTTGGACAAATCTGACTGTGAATATGAGAATGGACATTAAAAAGGGCTGTCCACTCAATTCAACAGAGTTTTATAAAATAAATAAATAAAAATGGGGAAGGAATTGCTGCAGCTCGATATGCAAAGATATTTAGAACTGATCCTTTTGCTCAACCCTCAAAAACAATTTTGCATTCCATTTAAGTCTTAAATTAATTCCCTTAAAACAACTTAAAGACACTGTAATATGACAAAAAGAGCTTAAAACAATGTGATTTCTGAACTGTAAAAAAAATAAATTTAAATCTTATAGAAAACGGTGTTTGGTGAGTGGTGTCATAAAAGTACAGCTATACTTTTTCGATTATTTGATTTTGATTAAACTATTTATTTGCTTGCGCAAATCACAAGTACTATGCAATCATTTGAAAGATGGCACAACCTCATACAAAAATGATAAAACTAGCCTTTTTTCATGAAATAATGTAGTTAAATTTTAAAATCTAGCATTTTAAAGAAAAAATACTTGACACCATTCGAAAATAAAAGGCTGCTTTTATTTGAAACCCATTTCACAGGGTTGACAAACTGAAAATACACTGATCATACAATTACACAAAATAATTCAGTAAAGACACACAAACAAAGATTAATGATAACATCAAATGTTTATATTCTGTTTATTCAAATATTACTTTCATCATCATAATTCATACGTCATTCTTCATTTAAAATGGTATGAAATTTAGCACATGAATCACTGCATGGCAACAGTAAGGGCAGACTAAAAAAAAACTGAATTAATAATACCAGCCAGCATCTGCAGTATCTACAATGACCTATTTACAGTGCTTCACTTTGAGATCAGACCTGTCTGTGATATTCCTTTGGCCAAGCTTGTAAATCTGCTTAAAACGAAACACAAACAGGTGCACTGGAAGATTTTAGTGTACCTCAGTGTACCACACTTAAAGGAACAGAAGAAAGGAGTATTATTATTAGGCTAATGGAAATCTCAACAGGCCAACCTGATATTAGAGCTTTACAAAGCAATCTTTCCAACATCACATCGCTCACACATGAGGAAAAGTTGCTTCCTGTCAAACCTCAAAAAACTGTAGTGATGGTTGTTTAACACCTCAGATAAAGCTGTAAAAGTGCTTGGTGACTAAAAAAAAAAAAGAGAATCAAGATAAAAGCACTTTGCAGACAAAATTAGATGAAACTACAAAACAGCAAAATATGAGGCTTTCAGATGATTGGATGGACAAGGACATAAGAAATTCAAACCAGAATTGTTTCGGCTATTTCCAGCCATTATTCATGCAGACACTGGTACATGTGTTTCACATTGGTACAAAACATTGGTTTAGTATGTTTATCAAATTCAGTCTCTTCATCCACACACCACACAAACATACCTTGTCCAAAAACAGCTTGGGTCAGGCAGGCGGTTCCTTTGGTGACAGCACGTTCAGCAGGATGTGCTTATACAGCATTATTGATCAAGAGTCTCTCACCATCACAGAGAAAACTTGCTCGTCAGGAATGCCAAAGATGCACTTTTGTCTGTGTTCATCTTGTTCACATCAGAGTCGGGGTCATTGGGTTGAGTGTTTGCCCAGTGAAAAGTGTCAGGTCCTGTCAAACTCCTCAGCTCTGGGTTTATCTGACACCATCACAGGCCTGAGGACTGAGCCGTGTAATAAGGGCTGTTAACCTGGAAGAGCAGATATGATATTCATAAGTACAGTCGAATAAATATATACAGTAGTAAAGGATACATTTGTTCACGGACTGGCTGAGAGGCACTCGCTGTAAAAAGTCAGAGGCAAATTGACAAGAGGCACCTATCACCACAACATAAGCCCAAGACACACCTACATCCTAGAGAGCCTGTCGGCACAAATATGATAGATTTAGATCTAGCTGCATGGTAAATCAAACTCAAGAGGTTGTATTTACCATAGAATACAAATATTCAGTAGGTAAGTATTTAATAAAGGTTGTGGTTTCTAGGATATTCTGAAGTAGTATGTAAGGATTCCAATACCCAAATGAGCACTTGAGGAAAGTGCTGTGCTGGGAATTAATGAGTGTCTGCTTGGATGCTACTGAATGACTCACAGCACGGCAGATGATTCACCTCCTGAAAGCTGTGAGGACAATCTAACAGAGGTGCTTCAGGCCTTTGGGTCAAATGAATACATAAGCGATTATGGTGTAAATTGTTTCAAAGAGCACAGGAAATTCATTAAAAACAAAGAAAAAAAGTGCAAAGTGGTGTTGTGAGGCTTTAGTGCGAATGAAAAGAGGGTTGGGGCTTTGTGTTTTCTTTCGTTACAGGATCGCTCAGCGAAGGGTTTCTCTCACATTTGAAACGTGGTTTTGCACGGTGTAATTTTTCATATTATTCTTTTTTTTTTAGATTTCTGTATTTATTTTGAGTCACATACAAGAAAATCTCACCTTAATTTAATTTGACAAAGAATATATTCTGAGACAAAGAGCCTTATATAAAGTTTCCATTTTTTTTTTTAGATTTAGATCTAGCTGCATGGTAAATCAAACTCAAGAGGTTGTATTTACCATAGAATACAAATATTCAGTAGGTAAGTATTTAATAAAGGTTGTGGTTTCTAGGATATTCTGAAGTAGTATGTAAGGATTCCAATACCCAAATGAGCACTTGAGGAAAGTGCTGTGCTGGGAATTAATGAGTGTCTGCTTGGATGCTACTGAATGACTCACAGCACGGCAGATGATTCACCTCCTGAAAGCTGTGAGGACAATCTAACAGAGGTGCTTCAGGCCTTCGGGTCAAATGAATACATAAGCGATTATGGTGTAAATTGTTTCAAAGAGCACAGGAAATTCATTAAAAACAAAGAAAAAAAGTGCAAAGTGGTGTTGAGAGGCTTTAGTGCGAATGAAAAGAGGGTTGGGGCTTTGTGTTTTCTTTCGTTACAGGATCGCTCAGCGAAGGGTTTCTCTCACATTTGAAATGTGGTTTTGCACGGTGTAATTTTTCATATTATTCTTTTTTTTTAGATTTCTGTATTTATTTTGAGTCACATACAAGAAAATCTCACCTTAATTTAATTTGACAAAGAATATATTCTGAGACAAAGAGCCTTATATAAAGTTTCCATTTTTTTTAAATTTTCATCAAAACATGTCAGAATTAATTATAAGTTGTTTAGATACCAAAAATACTTTAATTAAACATTAGCAGTTTAAACTGGAGTCTTATGATGGATTTAAGGCATGTTTCGGAACGCAAGGACATTTTCAATATGTCTCGTTGAAACTTATTTCTGTATGTGGTCAAATGAGGAATGAGACTGCTTTATGTATGTAGCACTACAACAAAGTCGGCTGGGATCAAGTCTGTTTGTGTTCCTGCTACTGCTTTCTTCAGAAATGTTATGAAGGCCTACCGAACATATGTGACCCTGGACCACAAAACCAGTCTTAAGTTGCTTGGGTATATTTGTAGCAATAGCCAAAAAAACATTTCGTTTTTCTTTTATGCCAAAAATCATTAGGATATTAAGTAAAGATCATGCTCCATGAAGATATTTTGTAAATTTCCTACCGTAAATATATCAAAACTTCATTTTTGATTAGTAATATGCATTGCTAAGAACTTCATTTGGACAACTTTAAAGGCGATTTTCTCAGTATTTTGATTTTTTTGCACCCTCAGATTCCAGATATTCAAATAGTTGTATCTTGGCCAAATATTGTCCTATCCTAACAAATCTTACATCAATGGAAAGCTTTTTTTACTCAGAAATTGACCCTTATGACTGGTTTTGTGGTCCAGGGTCACATATTTTAGCCTCTGAGCCAATCAACAAATGAGGAACTATTTTATTGCTGTTGCCTGATAATAATCAATATGCAATCATGATATCTGTACAAAAATAATTGTAGTACAATTATTTTTAATATTCTACAATGCAACGACAAGATTTTTGTATTTTGATTACATAATCCAAATTACACACTGTAGACCATTACTCCCCAACAATGCTTGTAGTATAGAGGTACAAAAAAAACACTTTATGTGCCTTTCAATGCTTTATGGAAAGTCGACTGGGTTATTTGAGGTGCCTTTCCATGGCACTGCATCTATTCAAATGGGCAAAGAGAGAAAGCTGAGTGCAATTGGCTTACACATTCTGCCATTTCCCCTCCTGCCCATTAACTTCCTGGGTAATCAAAGAATGACAGGAAATACTGAAGCAAGGGAGTCCAGGACTGAATCCAAAGCCAAGGCAAAGAGACCAAAAACACACGCTATACTAGCATAAAATAAGGTCAGACACATTTAAAGAAAACGGGTTTATCTATTCAAGTAACCAACACAATACAAACACACAGGCAGCAAGAAAAAATATATATTTCTAATCAAGCCTGTATGTCTGCACTCTTGCTCAGGGAACACATAAATACAGGGTGACATGCACCTGGCGCTAGAAAGACCATCCATTTAACACATTAGTGGCATGATCGATTCTTCACAGCTGCCTCACCTTTGTGCCTTCCTTCCCGCTTTCAATGTACTTTAATCCAGTGCCCTTTAATCCAGGAACAAAACAGAAAGACAAAAAACAACATCTAAAATATAGAAGGGGGAAAAATAAACGTATATGACCATACAGTGAGGAATATAATTTAGTTTTTCAGAAGGCACTAATACTCAGTGTGTCACATAGCTGCGTGTGTAATGATCTGTTTATGCGGAATTTGAAATAAAATAAAAGGTGTAAAAATCAGTGCGGAGTAGGTGGTTCTTTACTGTCTTAGAGGCAATAAGATTAGCATTTACACTACATAATGTGATGTGGTCATATGCATTCCTGAATGTAGTTTGAATGAGATTCAGACCACAAAACATTTTGGACCCACTTGCAATCGGATCATCCTAGATCAATGTGGACACCAAATCACAACAGGAACAATGCCCATGGGGTAAAGTGAGGGCATAATGGTGGTAGCTCAATTCCATGCCTAGTGGGACTTGGACCTAACCTTATTGGTAACCATCCCAGACCTTTAACCGCTAGGTAACACCACCCACCTAGAATGAAACTCTAGAAGAATGCCATGTGTATGTGCATGCTGTGAGAACACTGCAAAACTAAGACCTCAGCAATGACATGATGAAAATCAACTAAATAATGAGTGCAGTCAAATCAATGCATGGATATGGTCTGCTATTAGCTGTGACAAATCCGTTTATCACATTAGTGTCAGATCAGTTTGCTTGGATTCAACAGTGGTAGCAAAGGTAACGCATACTTTTAAATTAAGCAATGTTCTTCACGTCGAGTTAAATGATACGTTATAATGGTAATATGAGATTCTGCAATGCCAGATGACTACAGCCATAATTTTCCCATTTTCTCTTCTCATATTCCAGAGAAACGAACTGACTTTTTGTTTCTCTGTTTCCTTAAATATGTCACCCTATCCCACATAAGAAGTTGAAGTAATCTTAAGAAATAAAATGTGATGTGTTCCTTTGAGCTGGAGCAAGCAGCAGCAGCACAGCACGCAGACGGCTGAGTTTCTCACGGCTGAGGCCTCTTTCAGTCTGAGGGGAAAGACTTTCCTCCACCCATACTTTGGGTCAACAGTTAAAAATAAGCCTCTAAGCATCTCTTTTCCACAAGCCAAACGCAATCCATTTCAAAACAAAAAAGGACCTCATTAAGAACTAAAAAAGTGAATATTTTTATATACCGGCTTCACCAAAAAAAAAAAAAACTGTGCTAAAGGCTGCATTTAAAGAACAGGTCATACAGGGAAACTAGTTTGAAGAATTTGCATATAATTGCATCTAAAATTGGTCACAAGTTGTACATTTCAATTACCTTAGGCATAGAGAAAATCTTTTGCATGTTTGAGATTAATAGTTTTCCTAAACATGTTTAAGAACATGACACTTTCACTAAACTTTAAGCTCATTACAGACAGTGTCACTTTATTGTATTTGTATTATTATTTTTCTTCATTTTTTATTTAGTAGTACAGTATACTAGAACTATTTTATCTATTATTTGTGAAGAAGCAATCAAGAATTTAATTGTAGTTGCATATAATGACAATTAAAAGTTGACTTATCTTGAAATGCAAAAGCCATTGTTGACGTGTGACTGTGGGGAATTTGTTACAGAGAGGTATCTGGCTCTCTGTAAAAGTTTCCCGAAGACTTAAATATTAAAATGCAGTTTATTAAAAGTTAAACTCTCTTAAGGAAATAGTTGACCTCAAAAATAAATTTTAATTTACCCAGCCTTATGTTGTTCCAAGATATTATGACTTACTTTCTTCTGTGAAACACAAAGATGATGTTTCATGTTTTAAGTCAGACCAGTTTTATAAACAGGATTAAATGATTCTTTAAAACATTCTTCAACTCTCTCTTTGGTGTTCCGGAGAAGAAATGCAGGTTTTGAAGAACGTGACGATGAATAAATGTTGACAGAATTTAATACAGATTAAATACAAAAGAATTAGTAAAGGTCAAGTTGCATACACGCATCTTTTTCTAAGTGTAACGTCCTTTATCCTCAATGGACAATTGTAGTGTGGTAAAGGACTGAATACTCACCCGTGTGTCATACTCCAGGACGAAAGGAGGGATGTCGATCTGCTCAGGCAGGATGCAGGTGAAGAGCTGCTGGAGGTTCTCTATGTGATGGACTTTCTCTTTAAGGCTTGATACACTGAATGTTGTGAAGAACCATGTAGAGACCTGACAGGAATCACAAATAAAAGCATTAGATTGACTGAGATGGCACTTTTCATGAAAAGGGTACAAAAATTGGTCTTGAAACACAATTTATTTTGGTACAATATTATTTTTTTAATTATTACATTTAAAATTATTTGATGAACTCTGTATTAATTGATTCTTTGAAGAATAGAAGGTTTAGAAGAACAGCATTTGTTTGAAATAGAAAAGCATTTATGATAATATACATATCATTTATAATTATTTGTTCACCTCACATTATACAGTGGGTATTGAAAAGAATCACCCACCTTTAAAATAATCACATTTTGTTGCTTTGTAGCCTGAAATTAAGACTGATAATTTTTGTTTTATCCAGCTGTATTTATAACATCCAAGTGAAAGATATAACACCAACATATCAGAAAAAACAAAACAATCACTGAGTTGGAAAAAGGATCACCACCTTGTGTCAGTATTTTTGCTTTAATTACAGCCTTTAGTCTGTTGGGATATGTCTCTGTCTCTACTAACTTTGCACATCCAGACTTTGTAATATTTGCCCAATCTTCTTTGCAGAACTGCTCAAGCTCCCAGCCTTATGTTGTTCCAAGATATTATGACTTACTTTCTTCTGTGAAACACAAAGATGATGTTTCATGTTTTAAGTCAGACCAGTTTTATAAACAGGATTAAATGATTCTTTAAAACATTCTTCAACTCTCTCTTTGGTGTTCCGGAGAAGAAATGCAGGTTTTGAAGAACGTGACGATGAATAAATGTTGACAGAATTTAATACAGATTAAATACAAAAGAATTAGTAAAGGTCAAGTTGCATACACGCATCTTTTTCTAAGTGTAACGTCCTTTATCCTCAATGGACAATTGTAGTGTGGTAAAGGACTGAATACTCACCCGTGTGTCATACTCCAGGACGAAAGGAGGGATGTCGATCTGCTCAGGCAGGATGCAGGTGAAGAGCTGCTGGAGGTTCTCTATGTGATGGACTTTCTCTTTAAGGCTTGATACACTGAATGTTGTGAAGAACCATGTAGAGACCTGACAGGAATCACAAATAAAAGCATTAGATTGACTGAGATGGCACTTTTCATGAAAAGGGTACAAAAATTGGTCTTGAAACACAATTTATTTTGGTACAATATTATTTTTTTAATTATTACATTTAAAATTATTTGATGAACTCTGTATTCATTGATTCTTTGAAGAATAGAAGGTTTAGAAGAACAGCATTTGTTTGAAATAGAAAAGCATTTATGATAATATACATATCATTTATAATTATTTGTTCACCTCACATTATACAGTGGGTATTGAAAAGAATCACCCACCTTTAAAATAATCACATTTTGTTGCTTTGTAGCCTGAAATTAAGACTGATAATTTTTGTTTTATCCAGCTGTATTTATAACATCCAAGTGAAAGATATAACACCAACATATCAGAAAAAACAAAACAATCACTGAGTTGGAAAAAGGATCACCACCTTGTGTCAGTATTTTTGCTTTAATTACAGCCTTTAGTCTGTTGGGATATGTCTCTGTCTCTACTAACTTTGCACATCCAGACTTTGTAATATTTGCCCAATCTTCTTTGCAGAACTGCTCAAGCTCAGTTAGATTTGATGGTGAGTGTTTGTGGACTGCAGTCTTCAAGTCCTTCCACAGATTTTCAACAGTGTTTAAGTCTGGGCTCTGACTAGGCCATGCAAGGACATTCACCTTTTTCTCCTTCAACCACTGTGTGGTCAGTTTTGGTGTGTGCTTTGGGTCATTGTCATGTTGGAAGGTAAACCTTCTTCCCATTGACAACTTTCTGGCAGAGGGCAGCAGATTTTCATCAAGAATTTGACAGTATTTTGCACCATCCATTTTTCCTTCTATCCTCACAAGTCCCTGCTGCAGATAAACACCCCATAACAGGATATTACCACCTCCATGCATTACTGTAGGAATGCGGTTATTTGAATGGTGAGCTATATTGGCTTTCCGTCAGACATATCATTCAGTGTTGAGGCCAAATAATTAAATTTTAGTCTCATCTGCTTTAGAATCTTCAAGGTTTTGGCAAAGCTCAGTCTTGACTGAATGTGGCCATTCTTGAGGAATGGCTTTTTTCTTGCAACCCTCCCATACAAGCCACATTTGTGGAGAATTTGCGATATTGTTGTCACATGCACACAATTGATTGTTTGGAGTGACGTCCTGATGCAGGGAGGGTCTGTGTTTTACCAAATACCTTCCACTTCTTAATAAGACTTCACTGTGCTTCTAGGCATTTTTAACAGAGATCTTTTAACAGTGCTTTGCCAGCCATAGTTGATTGTTCGCTTCAGTTGCACTACCAAGGACTTAAAACGCTCCAGGAAAGCTCTTTTCTAATCAAAATGACCACAGCTGATTACAGTTGAAAGTTAAAGGGGGAGGGGGGTGATCCTTTTTCCAACTCAGTGATTCGGTTTTATTTAAAAAAAATTCAGATATGTTGGTGTTATATCTTTCACTTGGATGTTATAAGTTGCACTGAGTAAATACAGCTGGATAAAATAAAAATGTGTCAGTCTTCATTTCAGACTACAAAGCAATACAATTTGATTATTTTAAAGGGGGTGATTCTTTTCTATACCCATTGCAAATTAACTCAAATGTAACTCTACAAGAAAACAACGGACAATACTCCATTTTAAGGTCAATTTAAAACGGACAGCTACAAAATTGGTGAAGCTGCACTTCAATTAAGTGTTTTGTTGCTAAAGGCAAACTCTTAAGTTCATAAAGCTGTTGTTTTTTAGTCATTTTCAGCATTTACTCCAATGACTCAGCCCTGAAGCTTGAACACATTTCACACCTGGGATTGTTACAATGCTCGAGCATTCTCTGACTGAAATGGGCGCATTTTAAAACGAACAATTATCTGACACTTAATTGCCAGGGTTCCTCCACATTTGGAGAGCATAAAGCATAATTGTTGAATAATTTTGCAAATGAAAGCAAAGCCTGGCAGAGGCAACACGCTCTCATAAGTACTTCAATTACCTGAATAGGTTCTGTGAAACACTATGGAACACTTAGTGTGGAAACAACATGAATCTCAATGTGGTCTCAGAGACGCTTTTCAACATATTCTGTTACACAGACTCACATACAGTCTTCTCTTAGTCAAATGTGAAATGTGGAGCTGACCACTGTGAATCAGACCATAGGCCTGTACAAACCGGATAGAAAAGCTCAATATGAGATGAACATCTAGTTTAATGGACTTACATCTGAGTTGATGAACTGATTACATTTACCTTGGTGCGGAACGTTGGATGAACGAAGTAGAAAGCCCTCAGGTTTTTCTGAAACCTGAAAACACAAAAGGAAAACCTTGCGAGAAATGGTTTTTGAAACATTATCAACACATCCAAACAATTACTTATTACACAAATAGTGAATTCCTCTGGTGCACTTAGCTTAGAAAGGATCATTGCCTTAAAATAAACCCATTAGAAAGAGAGCTAAAGCGCATTTTTTAAGAACGAGAAAAAGTCAGTGAATCACATCCAGCAGGGCAGCCACGTCCAAGCCACAAACTGTTGTCCAAAACACACAGATGGATAGAGATCTGGACGGCTAGATGGCCAGAAGTTGAGGGGTGTTCGAAAAGCACAAGAGACGTGTCCGTCAACCTTTCCACTTTCCCACGATGGTCTCGGCCAGTCCCGTCCAAACCCATGAGCAGGGGTCATAGGGAGTGATAGCATCACTGGCTAACTCAGCTATAAACATGGCTGTGATTGCTAACAGAACAATTACAGAACCTCATCACTGTTGCTGAAGATTATGTCTGTAAAACACTTTCTTAAAGACCGATGCCTTTTGAGAATAAATAATAGTGATGATCTGCTGTGCTCTGCTGATCCCTCATAATAAATGACACGAGTCAAACTGGCCTGGCACTCAAAGTTATGAGTCACGCTGATCTCCACGATGTACGGAAAGTGTGAGGGACTGGAGCTGGAGAGCGTTTCTGCTTTTTATTTCAAGACTGAGGCTTACTCTGCCTGCATGCTGAGAGTGTCCCCTGAATAAATGAGGAATGCCTGACCTCACAATCACCTGCCACAGTTTTGTCTTTTGACAAAGTTTCAAACTCTTCCGCTAAGCCAGGAAAATAGCTATTATGAGGACTGTTCGATTAAAAGAACAATGTGTTTCTTAAAACACAATTACAATGCCATTCCATGGAGCTACATCCTACATACAGGTGTTTGTAGGCCACTGGTGGTGGTAGTTTGCCGTTTTTCTCAATTGGTTGGGTGAGAGGAGAACATCGAGACCTCAGATTCATCAGTGTTCTAACCTTGATAACCAGAAACCCCCTTCAAAATTTCCCAAAGTGCTCTGAAAAAAAGCAATACTACTTCACTTTCCTTAGAAGAATCAATCACCTCGGACACATTTGAGCACCAATTTAGAGTGATACTCTGGAGAAACAGCAGGTAAAACTGAGGAAACGTGACTTAGTAGTGTTTGAACAGTGCTTTCCGAGCTTGTCATAACCTACAAAAGGGTTGAGCTTCTGTGTATAAATCTTCATGACATTCAAAGAACAGGAAGCCCAAGACATAGACATTCCCTTATGATTATCATGACATATGTGGTGTGTTTGGGTTTGAGGAGACAGTACTGTTTGGCACAAGAAGCTCATAAAGTCACCAAGCCAGCATTTATACAAAACTGTGATTAGCTTTTCCATGCGAGTCTGGAGTTATGGTTTTAAAGAATACCTCAGCCAAGAACTGGGTCAAGTCATCTCAAAAACATTGTAAGGTCATAGAGAGCAGGCATTGTGGGTGGTTTGTAGTATCTCTGTATTGCAACAGAAATAAATCTTACTTGGCATCCACAACGTCAGAAAGTTTCTTGAGAAAGTCGGTGTCCAGGTGGTTGTGTTCACCAGTGAGTGTGTGGAAATACACCATCACATACTCCTTCACTGTGATATGGTCCATCACGTGGATGA